AGGATAACGCGCTTTAGCTCAGTGCCTGGCACAGGGAAAACATTCAAATGTGGAATAAAGGTCAGCACCATAATAACAGTTATGATTATTTTATTGTTACTTAAGAAGTAAGGACGCTATGGCAGGGAGGTGAAGTAACCTGCTCCAAGTCACACCTCTGGGAAGAAGCATGGAAATGTGGGAGATGAGAGAGGAGAAGGATGAGAATCGGAGGACTGATCAGATTCAAGTGGGGACCGCACTTCAGCCCCTTGGAGGGTGGGTGGTCTGCTGGCTCTTGGGCTGCTGCCCCAGGGGCATTGTTGTGCCAGCCTTTTCCTGACTGCTGTAGGGTTGCAAGTGGCTGCAGGGTGACCTGCACTGTTGAGTTGGCTGCCTCTGGGCAGAGACCTAGCTGAAGTCGGTCTGTGCCCGTCTGGATGGGCCCCTGGCTTCAGACCTGGGTCAGACTTGGTCCCTGTTTACACTGAGCCCCCAGACTGGTGGAAGAGACCGACACACAGACAGAGGGCCTCAACCTAGGGACACCTTGCCTCTCCTTCCTGCCCCAGGACCTTTGCATTTGTTGCTTCTGCTGGAACATGCTCTTTTTTCACCCGAGATTTTTTATCCTCCCCGCTCATCACCACCGTGTCATTCAGGTCTCAGCTCAAACCTCACTTCTCCAGAGAGACTGTCACTGACCACTCCACTTAAGTCAGTCCCCAGGTATTCCCTGTCATCTCCCCATGACTTACTGTATTCAAAACCTCATCATCTCTGAAATTGTCTTGTTTCTTATTATTCTCTCTGCTTCCCACTAGAACAGTGTTTCTCAACCTTTTTTTTTTCTTATCACCACTCCCCTAAGGAGTCTTTTTAGACATTCTTGTCTTAATTGCCTTCCCATGACGTTTGAATACCACAGCTGTACTGTGTATCTCTTTATGTACTGTGGCCCCGTGGAGAGCCACAAATCATTGTCATATCTAAGAATTTTTGCATCACCCCGTTGGAGGTGGTTTCAGCTCATTGAGAATGCTGGACTAGAACATAAGCTCCATGAAAACAGGGACCTTGTCTGTCTGTTCACTGCTCTGTCTCCAGGGCGGGGCTTGGGGCATGCTCATTGCCCAATAAGTATTTATGGTGTGAATGGAAGTCCAAAAACGCTGGGAGCACAAAGGAGACAGTCGTCCCAGAGTTAAAGGAGGGACAAGTAGGGAAGGCCTCTTGGAAGACAGGACTCCAAAGTAGAGTCTTGTAAGCTGAGTAGGGGGTGGCTGACTGAGGAAGGGAGATGTGGGGAGGGTGCCCACTTAGGGGAGGACACGGTGTTGGCAAAGGCTAGGGGCACGAAGCACTCCGGAGTATGTGGGGTGGGGCCATTCCACAGGTGTGACCAGGACTGTTGGAGGCAGGACCTTGACAGTGGTCCCAGCCTTGGCTTCTCCTGGGCACCCTCTGGAGGGCCCGATGCCAAGTCTGGAGGGCCCCTGATTCCTAGTTCAAGCTCCACCATGAGCCAGCTGTGTGAAACTGTAGACTGGGCACGGGGGTTGGCCTTGCTGATTTGCCGGGTCTGCCTGGCTGGAAGTCCATGCTTCTCCCATGGAGCCGAGTAGCCACTGCCTGTCCCCAGTGGCCCTCAAAACCTCCACCTGTATCTCCATGGTGGTGGTCACAGCTACAAAGGAAACTTCTCCCACTTTGCTCTAACCCAACCTGAGGATGCTGACAGGCTCTCAGGCCTGGGTCTCCTGAAAGCCTGTGTGACATCAGAGACCTCCCTGCAGCCCACTCTTGCATCTCACCCCTTGCCCAGCATGCCAGCTCTGGCTAAAGCCAGTGGGAGCCACTGAGGAGTAGTGGGGTCTTATCACTACTTTTCCAGACTGGGGCTGCTCTGCAATCCTATTTATTTATCCAGAGCAGCCGCCCACTGAGAAAATGGCTGTGTTTGTTTCCAAGTGTGTCGTGTGAACCATGGGCTAAATATAAATATACCCACACCACTGCCTCCCCGGCACCCGCCCTGGAACAACACGCCCCATTTTGTTCGTGCTCCCTCTGCAAAAGCAATCCCCAGAATCCAGGCCCTTGGAAATCCTACTCCCCCCTCCCCAAGAGGAGCTCCTGAAATGGAGATGAAGGCCATCCTGGCCAGGAATGCGTGCGCGGGGGGCTGGGCGGGTCAGAGCCTTGTTCTCTATGGCACCAAGATGAGAATGTTCCCTCCACCCTGGAGTGACTGTTCCTGGACAGTGAGTGCTTTGTGCCCTTGCAAGGACAGGGCCTGTTTACTCCAACCCAGCCCCAGAGCCGAAAATTTCCTGTGGCTGCCAACCCTCTGCTTCAGGAAAGTTCCCATCAAGGGAGCCAGGCCTCTCCCATTTTGGCTGCAACCCCAGTGTCCCTGGTTTCTTGTGGGACATTTGGCCCCTTGGGATAACTAGGGCCACCTGGCCATGGCCTCACTTCTCCCAAGTTCCCCACACCCCAGGAGTGTCCCCCATCACAGATCAAACTTTTTTGTGGCTCCACCTGGGCCTGCTTCGCTTGGGAGGAGAAAATCCTGTAACAGTTTTCTTGTCCGCTGACCGCAATGGAAGCTAGCCAGGATGAAGGCAGAGAGACAGGGAAACATATCCACGCCAGCCATGCCTGGGCCGCAGGGAGGCCAGAGTTCAGAGGCTGCTGCCGCCACTGCCCTTCTCTCCCCAGACCTCAGGCTCCAGCTCAGCCCCACCCCTACATCCCTGTTCCTTGGGATCCATTCAGCACTAGTGACAGGATAGGTCCTCCCTGGCCCCTCACACAGGGCAGTGTCCTGCTGTAGCAGCACTCCCTTTGGAGCTGGCAGTCCTGGGCCCTGGTCTGGCTCTGCCACCTGTTAGCTGGGTGAGCCCAGGCGAGGTCTTTCCTGTCCTAAACCTCAGTGTCTCGTCTGTGAAATGGGGCTCAAATCTCTACCTCTGGGGATTCTGATGAGGTGAAATAGGATAGCAATGCCTGGCACTTAGTAGGCATGCAGTACCCTCGTTCTACTTGTGTGTACTTTGAGCACCAGCTATGTGCCAGACGCTGTTCCAGGCACTGAGTGTATAGAAACAAGGCAGGGTCTCTACCTCATCAGCCACATCTAGTACAGGAAACAAATCAAAACAAAAGCAAAGTGTCGACTTTGGTTATGAAAAGTGCTGAGAAGAAAAATAAAGCAGGGTGAGGGGAGAGGTAGAGAGAGGTGGCAGTGGCTACCATTTTAGACAAGGTGGCCAGGGAAGGCCTCTCTGAGGAGATGATGTTAGAGTGGAGTCAAGACTGAAATGAGGGAGGCGGGTGATGATGACATGGGGTCAAGTGCCCCAGGCAGCTCCGAGCTCAGCAGATGTGCAAGGAACAGCAAGGAGGCCAGTGCACTCGGAGCAGAGCGGGCAGTGGGGAGGGGCCAGCTCCCACTAGACCTTGCTGGCCATGGTAAGGACTTTATTCCAGGCGTGATGGGAAGCCTTGGGAAGAGTGAGAGCGTGGAGTGACCTGGTCTGAACGGAGGGGCTGCCTGCTCTCCCCAGTGCCTTTTCCCCAGGACATGGTAAGCTGTCTGGGAGGGCCTCTGACTTATGCATCACTGCTACCTCCCTAATGGCTTAATAAATGTGGAGGATTCTTTGAGTCCAGTTAGCAGCTCAGTGCACGTGGCGCTCTGCTAGGTACCAGGGATGTGAACAGAAATGACACTGGCTTTCTAAGTGTGAGGGAAAGCTGTTGGACGACTTTAAGCACAGGCATGCCATGATCTGGTCTACATTTTTAAAAATCTTCTCTGTGTGGAGCATGGACTGAGGGGGGTCGTCAAGACTAGAAGTGGGGCTAGGCAGGTATCACAGTGAGCAAACTGGCCAGGAGGCACCTGGGGCCAACTGGAGTTGGCAGATGCTGTCTGAGGGAGCAGCCACTGCTCAGCCAGTTGGGACCAGGTGGAAATGTGGGCCCAGGCGTGAGCCCTTGGTGGAGAGGCAAGAACATGGGCTCTGGAACCAGACAGTGACCCACTCCCTCCCTAGACACACACAGCGCACTTACTTCTAGGTGCTAAACACCAGCTTTGGACTCTGGTTCCACTACTGACAAAGCTGGGTGACCTGATAAGTCCCTGGGCCCTGAGAAACTCAGCTGCCTGGTCTGTAAGTGGGGAAAGACAGCCCGTATTGCAGCATTGTTGGGAGGATTAAAGGACAGATGGGGTGCGAAGCTCACTCATTAAAGGGTACTCCACACTCCCCTCTCCCCGCCCCAACGCTGGCTCCGCCCTGGGCTGGGTAATTCAACCCACAGCCCCTCCTTCCCGATCATGTGCTTCCCTCCTGACTAGCTTCAGGGCAGAGGGCTGTTGCTCACCTCCTCCAGGGCTCAGAGTCATGCCCCCCTGGGGTGGGGGACAGGGCCAGGGCCTCAGAGGCTCCCTCCAGAGTCCCCAGACCTGCTCTTCCCCTGAATCACTCTGGGGATTTAGCCCTGTCCGTTTCCTCTCCTTCCCTCCCCATTGTAGCAGCGGTAAGGCTGAGGCCTGGTGGTTCCTCACTACTTCAGACTCACTCCAAGCTCCCCCGTGCTTCCAGAGCACACGTGGTTCAGCTCTTACTCATCCCTGCACCCTCATCTCCCCTGTCCTCTTCTTTCCCCTACTCTGCTCCAGCCACCTGGCCTCCTTTCAGTTCCCGGACCCTGCCCATCTCTTTCCCACCTCAGGTTCTCTGGTACCACTTCCTACTGTCTGACCTTGGACAAAGCTCTTTCTCCACTTTGCACCTGTTCTCTCTGTAAGAAAATGGGTTGGTCATCCCCAGCTGGGGCTCAGGAAGGAGGGCGGCCCTCAACCCTTTATCTGGCCCAAAGTGGCATGGAGGGCTATGGTTTTTCAAATCACAAGGCCATTGCACACAGATGGCTCCCTTCCACCTACCCCCATTACTCTTTGAGGACTCAAACAGCACCTTCCCTTCTCTTCTCTCTCCCTGCAGGACACCTTTGTGGAACTCTACGGGAACAACGCGGCAGCCGAAAGCCGGAAGGGCCAGGAGCGCTTCAACCGCTGGTTCCTGACGGGCATGACTGTGGCTGGTGTGGTTCTGCTGGGCTCACTCTTCAGTCGGAAGTGACCAGACACTGACCACCCACTCACCCTCCCACCCCCATCCTGACGCCACCATATCCCTCCATCTAGCCACCATTGCCACCAGGAGAACCACTACATGCAGCCCATGGCCACCTACCCATCACAGGGTTGGGCCTAGACCTGGTCCCCTGCAATTAGTTTTCTAGAATCTACCATGCTTCTGTGAGAGCCACCTTCCCCCACACCTCAGTTCTCCTGACCTCAGATCCCACAGTTTCCCACAAAATCTGCCCCGTGGAAGCTGGCAGGTGTGGGGGGTTTGTGGCTGGGGGCTGGAGGGCCCTGCCTGATTGGTGGACCCCCTTACCCCTTAGCCTCCTGAGAATGCTTTCCTGCCAGGGAGCTGGACAGTTTTCTGACGCTTTTCCCCAGAAAGACTAGATTGCCTTTGTTTTGATGTTTGTGGCCTCAGAATTGATCATTTCCTATCTAGCCCCAGGACCTGGGCTTCCCTTCCTTTCATCTCCACCCTCCAAGAGCCACTTAGGGGCAACTTCTGACTAATTAGGGATTCAGGCTGCTTGGGATAAAGAAACAAGGACCAGGACCCCTTCCCCACCTCTGGCCTGGCCAAAGTCCCTGCCCCCAGTCCCAGTGTCCTCCAGAGGCCTCTGGCTAGAGGCCAGCCCTACCCGGCAGGGAGTGGGCTGTAGCTGCAGGAAGCACCCCATGCCAAAGCTAGGGTGGCCCTTGCAGTTTAGCACCACCCCAGTTCCCTCCCCCTCCTTCTCCCCTGGCTCCCATGACCACGACTGAGGGACCAACGGGGCCCAAGACAGGTGCCCCAGAGCTGTTAGGGCCTCAGCTGCCTCACTTCCGGCAAGGAGATCAAGCCTGTGGCACCTTTACCTTGGGCTGCTGCCTATGGGGTCCAGGGGTTCAGGGACCTTGGCCAGAGGTGAAGGGGAGCTACAGGGAGCAACTGTGGGAGCCCTAGGGTCTTCCCTACCTCAGGCAGGAAGGGCAGGAAGGAGAGCCTGGTGCACGGGGTGGAGGTGGGGCTGGCTAGAGAGGCCAGTCCTGCCTGGCCACACAGATTCGTGCCCTACCCCTGTTTAGCCTGGGCAGCCGGGCTGCCAAGGTCAGAGTAGCCTGGCCAGGAGCTCTTCAGGCCTCCCTGTCTCCTCTGCTCCACCCATGGCCTGTCTCATCCCTGGGGTCCCAGCCTAGCACTGGCCACCCCGGGCTCTCTGCTGTACATATTCGAGACTAGTTTTTATTCCTTGTGAAGATGATATACTATTTTTGTTAAGCGTGTCTGTATTTATGTGTGAGGAGCTGCTGGCTTGCTGTGCGTGTGCACGTGGAGAGCTGGTGCCCGGAGATTGAACAGCCTGATGCTCCCTCCCCTGCCCTGGTCCGGGGAAGCCAGCCGGGGGTCCTGGCTCCTGAGGGACACCTGTCCCTCCCCCAATCCCCACCCCACACTTGTTCCAGCTCTTTGAAATAGTCTGTGTGAAGGTGAAAGTGCAGTTCAGTAATAAACTGTGTTGATTCAGTGAACGCAGGGCCTGGGCTCTTGTGTGCTCCAGGATGGGAATGGCGTGGCGGCTGCCAGAGAGGCCGCAGGACGGCCGGGGACTATGCTGCCTCTGCTGCCCTCCGGGGAGGACCTTGGGTAAGCCCCTTCCTCACTCGGGGCCTGAATTTCTCCACCTATACATTGAGGGGGTTTTTATTGAGCACCTGCTGTGTGCTGAGCACTGGGGCTGTGTGTGAACAGGACAGACACAGTCCCTGCCCTCGAGCTGACTTTCTAGTGGAAGAAACAGCCCAGTAGCCACTTGGCAAGTATTTACTGAGCTCTGCTCTGCACAGACAGCTCCAGGCACTGGGAGTTCTGCGGTGAATAACCATTGTTCTTCATGGAGCTTCCATTCTGGTCGGGGAGTCAGGCAGACAAATAGAAGGATGACCCTGGCTGGGCCAGGGCAAAGGTGGTAAGAGGATGACCATAAGAAGCACGGCAAGACCTGAATAACCTGATGGGCAAGGAGGTAAGAAGGGGTCAGCCTTCAGACAACGTTTTAAAGGTAGATTCCACAAGTCTGGCTGATGGATTAGAGAACTCGAGAGAGAAAGAGGAATTAAGGATGATTCGAGTTTTTGGAATAGTGAGGCACGCCATTATAATTACAAAATGAAGCACATGTCTGAAGCAACCCAAGAGGCTCATCATGAGTTTTCCAACAGCACTTAATGTGGCACCTGAGCTTGACTGGGAGTCAGGAGTCAGCGAGGGCTGCCTGGAGGAAGTGACCTCAGAGCCAGGGCCTGAAGAGTGAATAAGTTGCCATAAGTGTGTAAGAGTTATATACACAAATGCACAGGATGAACGAGAGCTTTCTTCAGGCCAAAGGAAAACTGGTGTGTCTGGAATCGGGAGGGACCTCCTGCATCGAGATGATGCCTGAGAGGTGGGGTGAGGGGACCAAACTTGATCCTGAGGGCAGTGAGAGCCAGACGAGGGTTGTAAGTCAGGGAGTGACATGGCCCCTTAGAGCTCCTAAAGTGCCCTCTGGCTGCTCTGTCAAGAAGGCTCTGGAAAGAGAGCAGAGGGAAGAAGGCACGGTTTGGTTAACGATCCATTTCTGAGGGTGGACAGGCCAGGTGTGTGTCTTGGGTCACCATTCCTGGTCTTTGGGCAAGTTACCCAACCTCTCTAAGTTTCAACTTTCTCTTCCATGAAATGGGTGTGATGGCAGTACCATCTCACACGATTGTGGTCAAGATTGAACAAGGTAACCCAACAGAGCTTCGGGGAGGACTGGATGTCAAAAGGGAGCCTTTAGGCAGGCTCCCTCGGAAGAGGGAGGAGATGCTCCTCACGGAGTTCCACGTGACTGCGGCCAGAGGTCGAGAGGGGTCTGGGAAAGCCAGCAAGGACTCCAGGGACAAGAAGTCCAGCTGGGGGGCGGGCCTGGAGGCGGGGCCTGCGTTGGGTGCTCTGTCCCGCCCGCTTTCAGGGGCGAGCTCCACTGCCCCCTGGTGGCCGAGGGATGCGACCTGACGGCCGCTCCCACCCCAAGATGCCCTGGCGCAGTGCCCACGACCTCTGTCTCCCGCCTGGCCAGCTTTCCCCGGTGTCCTCTATCCTCTGCCCTGCTCACCAGAGGACGTCTACACTTCTAATCCTCGGGTACCGAATTCAGAGCTTGCCACAGCTCTCCCGGGGCTCACAGTCACCATTCTCCCTAGTTCAAGACCAAAGCCTCCAGCCCCGCACCCACTCCTATGCCCAAGGTGCATCCCTGGCCCCTGGCCCTTACCCTAGCCACTCAAGTCCCCTCCCCAGATTCTTGATATCCTTCTAGAAACGTCTTTTCACACACGGCCAAATACATAGATATAAATACATTTTGATCCTCCCTCTTTTTTGTATGCAAATAGTAACACACTGTCCCTTGCTTTTGCCACCTAAGTAACGTATCCTCTAGAAGTTTCCACATTCATACATGAATTCCCGTGTACTCATCATGCAATTTGAACGGTTAACAACTCGTGGCAGCTTCATTCTTTTTTTCCAGCTGTAGCGTTCCACAAATTTTTTAACCAGACCTCTAACTCAGTGATTCTCAGCCTGAAGCATGCCATGGCACACACGTAACATATTGGAATTGCACTCTGCGGGAGAGCCAGAAGGAGTTTGGGACTGTCTATGTGGGTCCTGGGGAAAAATTAATTCCATTTCTATATATGTATTTTTATGATAAGAGAAATGAAATACAACACATTTCACAGAGAAGATATGAGGTATTAACATTGATTAAAACATCCAAATACATTATTTAAAAATTTATTTCTTGAGAGACTTGATCTCGTTCCTGTGAACACAACGTTTTTCTGTGAGGTTTTATGATTGAAGCTGTTTACACAGTTCCTGATCAAGGCTTATTAATGAGGCTCTCTTCAAACTCCTGGTAGTCAGCGTCCGCAAGAAACTTTGTAACCTCAAGTAGGGGATAAAAGAAAATTGTAAACCATTCCAAAGCTTACAGTTGAAACTGTATTTAATGCTCCGCTAGCTCTTCCCCTCGTTGACAAATATAATGTAATCAAATGGATTTCAAATCCCAATGATCTTTGTCATTTGGGGCATTTTAAACTAATGATGAGTTCCAGAACATAGGAGATGATGGAAAGCTTTCAAATTCTTTTTTTTTTTTTGAGAAAATTATAACTTATTAAAACTGGGCAACACTGTATAGCACAAAGGAAGAGAGAGAGAGGGAGGAGAGGAAGGAAGGAAGGGAAGGAAAGGGAATTCTAGGCCAGTTTACTTTGGAACATGCAAGCTGAAGTTCTGATTATAATATTAACAAATAGAATCTAACAACATATGAAGAGAATAATACGTCATGACCTAGTAGGGTTTATTCCAGGAAAATAAGATTGAGTCAATATATGAAATCTTTCAACATAATTCATTATATTGAAACATTAACAAAATCCTTATAGCATTTCAGTAGATATCAAAATAGTGTTTTGTGAAATTCAACATCTATTCATGATTTAAAGAAAAATATTTTAGGGGCTGGCCCAGTGGCGCAGCGGTTAAGTTCGCACGTTCCCTTCTCAGCGGCCCAGGGTTCGCAGGTTCAGATCCCGGGTGCGGACATGGCACTGCTTGGCAAAAGCCATGCTGTGGTAGGCATCCCACGTATAAAGTAGAGGAAGATGGGCACAGATGTTAGCTCAGGGCCAATCTTCCTCATCGAAAAGAGGAGGATTGGCAGCAGTTAGCTCAGGGCTAATCTTCCTCAAAAAAAAAAAAAAAAAAATTTTAGCAAGCTAAGGATTGAAAGTTAGCTTTCACTTTTTCATACTCTTCTAATTCTATAAGAGTTTAAGACAATGATTGTGTGCATTGCTTGTGCAATTTTAAAAAATTAAGTCATGCAGAAAAATCAGCCACTTACATCATGATCAAGTTCATTACATAATGTCCAGCTCTCCATTTTTCTATCTCCACCATCACAGCCTTTGTCATGAGACAAAAATAACAAGAACTTTTTTTAATATATAGAAAATAATAGAAATGAACATATATGATCTCTATAAATTTGTCATCTTTGATTTTTTTTAAGATTTTTATTTATTTTATTTTTTTTTCCTTTTTCTCCCCAAAGCTCCCCGGTACATAGTTGTGCATTTTTAGTTGTGGGTCCTTCTAGTTGTGGCATGTGGGACGCCTCCCCAGTATGGCCTCATGAGCGGCGCCATGTCCGAGCCCAGGATTCGAACCAGCGAAACCTGGGGCCGCCGAAGCGGATTGCTCGAACTTAACCATTCAGCCACGGGGCGGCCCTGTCTTTGATTTTTAATGAATATCCATGCACCGATGTTAGAATTCTGGGCATATGAAGCATTAATTCCCTCCTGAATTATTTAAACCATCCCATTTCGGTAGGTTCACACGTGAATAATTAGCTTGAATAATTCCATGATAAAGAGCCTTATGAATTCTTAGGAAATCTAAATGGTCTTACTACAAAGTTTTAATGTCAATCTTAAAATTTGAGGGAGTCATTCTTGAAACACTAAGGTACAGAGAATATGGACATAAAGGAAGAAAAAGGTCTTCCAAAAATAAAAAAGAACATAAACATAATGTAGCGGCCTAGCCAACAAGGTCGTTTGTGAATTTGTTGCTGAGTGGGAAACCACCAGACGCCACATCAGAAAGGCTTGACTCAAATTGCACCGATGTAAAAAATGGCCCCCACCTGCCAAGCAAAACAAAACAATGTGCTGTGTCCTATTGTGTTATAAAAATAATAACAAAAAACGAAAATAGTGATAAGGCCCCTGTTTGCAAAGCATTTACGTGGTGGAGCATGTCTCCACAGCTGGTTGGCCGTCCATCTTAGGCACATGAATCTCACCTGGGTTTTATGGCAAGCTCCCTGGGCACCTGGGAAACAAGTTCCTCCAGTGGCTCCACGGACGTGGTGGAGGGTCCTTGGGGAGGGTGGTGGCCCTCCCAGATGGGTGGCCACGTGCTCTGTGGCTGACCGCTGCTGCAGATGTCTAACAAGGAAGAGCCCAACCTTGGCTGCGCTCAGTTCATCTTGGGGGAGCAGCAGGCGCCAGAGGAGAGACAGGCTGTGTAGTGGTTAGAGCAGAATTCTGAAACCAGGTTGACTAGGGGAGCTGGGTGCTCTTGGACAAGTGACTTAACTTCTCTGTGCCTGAGTTTCTTCACCTGTAAAATAGGGATGATAATTCCTAATGGGGTGGTTATGCAGATTTTATGCTTATAAACAGTGCCTAAGAATGCATCTGGCAGCATAAATACTATATAAATTTTACCAGGCTATGCTATCAGACCCCACACCCCTCACCACCACTGCTCTAAGGACCACTGAGGGGACTGGTCTGGGGACTCCAACTGTCCCAAGCTCTAACCTTGATATGGATATCCCCCAAGAGCAAGGCTTAAAATAAGGATTCGGGTGTAAGCAGTTTAAGTGGTGATCCCAGGGCGGTGAGGCCGGGAAGGA